CTCACCTCTTTTCTTATGCAGCAAACACAAACTCATGTTCTTAGTATCACAGTGTGGAACATTAAGGCAAAGCAACGAGATAAATAAACAGCAGTGTGTTACGGCCCCAGGCCTTAGTTGTAATATTTCTGCAGAGTTCTCTTGATTCCTGCTGCACGAGCCCTGGTCTGTGATTGGTGGGGCAAGTCCACGCCCACTTCCCCTGCAGCCACCTCCCCCTATTTAAGGAGATTGCCAGCACCTGTTCGGGGCTGCTGGCCTTGGTGGCCAGTCTGCCATATTGTTTTGTGTGTGTGTGTGTGTAGTTTTAGTTTTGTGCCTTTTTTGATTTGGTCACTCGATTCTGTTTGTGGGTTTATGTGGTTTAATTTGGGGAACTTGTGTTTTAGTTTAGTGTGTGTCCCTAAGTTTTACCACTCGTTTTGTGTAAACCTGCGTGACCCCTTTTATGGCACAAAACTCTGTTTATTCTGTTGTTCTGTTTCTTAGTTTAGGTTGTTTTCTGTATATTTTTAGTGTTTTGTTAATTTACCTTTACATTCCTGTTAATTAAACATTACTTAATTTATTCCATTTTACATCTTGGTTTTATTTTTGTTACTTCCCTCACCCCAAACGAGCTGGGTCGTAACAAGTGTATTTACAAAAGGAGAAGACTCACCAAGCAGCAGAATTAAACATGGAGCTGGTCTCATCGTGAATTTCTGTTTTAAACCAGGAAGTATCAGCAAATATTTTTAACCATAAAGTAACACATCTGATCTGTACTCTTGCTCAAGAAGTACTTCTCTTGGCACTTTCTTGTGGTTTCCTCTTAGTCTGACGTGTTCATTTTTATCAAGAAAAAGGCCGGAGAAGAAAACAAGAGAGGAAGTGGAACGCTGACAAGAACAATGGTCTTTTTGTAATTGTTTATTAAGAGTATCACGGTCGCATTAGACAAGCGCCACAATGTCAGAAATTCAACTTTAAAACTTTTACCCAATTTTAAAATGTGACAATACCAATACAATTTAAAAAAAATATGTGGCAGATTTGCTCAATTGAATAAAATCTACTGGGTCCACCAAGTCTCTTAAGTTCCATCCTAACGGCGTCCATAAGAAAAATCAGTTTTTCTCAGATAACTTGATGAAAAAAAGAAAGAAAGTTGAATATAAATGTTGCTGTTGTGCATCTTTTGGTGCCAATTTTATATTTCTGTCTTCATAACTTTATAAGATATATCAATTTAGTCAATTTAAGATCAATTTAGGATTTTGAGTGGTTTTTCATAATTTGCCAAAATCCACAAAGTCCAAAGATGAAATGAGAGACATATAGTTTGTTCTAATGTAATGTAAATATGTAAATATTATAGCCAACGTGGCTCATTTCCATCTTCAGTCCGTCGGCAAGTTGATGTAAAATCATCTACTGCAGGGGTGTCCAAACTTTTTTCATCAAGGGCCACATTTCTAAACACAGACAAAGCAGAGGGCTGATCGAGGGCCATAGACTGGAGCGCAATACAGTGAAGAACTGAAATATGTGCATGTTTAAACACGTTAAAGTGAGTCTTTATTCATGCTAAGATCCTTAAAACCACACACGAAATATTAAATATTTGCTTTATCAAGGTAGATTTTGAAAAAACTTGCAGTAAAAAGTAAAATTTTAATTGATGCAAGGTAATTTGGGCCAATTCACCTGGAAGCCTGAGGGCCAAGAAAAATTTGTCTGAGGGCCGCATTTGGCCCCCGGGTCATAGTTTGGACATGCCTGGTCTACAGGATAAAGAAAAGTACAGCGACAATCACACAAAAGTACACAACACCACACTCACTATACATACAGTTCATTTCAAACAGTTCATTTGAAGTTCAAAGTCAAGAGTTTAAGAATTAAACCAAGAGTTAAACCAACAACCCCTCAAAATAAAATAAAATGTAAACTGGTTAAACATGGCGACATATTTGTCCATTGAACAACCGATGTTTTAAAGGTTTAGAAAATGCTGCCAGTGTTGAAAGTTCTCGTACATGAGCTGCTCTGTGTTCTGCTCTGAACGTAGCCTAAGGGACTTCACCGTAAAAACAATAAACCACTTGAACAACTGCCCATCAAATGTGGCATATACCAAGAAAACACACTGTCCCCACTGATGTTCTGCATCTGAACCCCCTCAGACAAATCATCGACCGCACTGGCTACGGACACCGACTCAGAAACAAGGCCACCATCAGTCACAGAGAAACCAACCACCATGAACGATGAGGAACACATCTCATCCAGCTCGAGTTCTTTACCGTTCCTAGAATATATAAATAAATGTGTTCCTCAAGAATCACTGATATTTTTACTTGTGTTTGTTTTGGTTGTGAATGATTGTGTATTTGCGATGTATAAACTGATGTTTCTGATTTGTGAATATATTCTTGAATACAGTCAATACTTTTTAAAAACATTAGCGTACAGAGAAGCTTCTTCAGTCTCGACCTGAGGCACCTGAGCGATCACTGCCTCAGTCTGACACCGGGGGGCGCTACGTTGACTCCTAAAACGGACCTCAGCGTATGTGACGTCCACACAGGCTTCCATCTGCAAAAAGAAGAACAACAGAAGAGAGTTGGACAATAATCTGTGATCTTGGTTTGAAATGAAGAACAGAAACTATATTCTTCAAACTGGATCATCTAAGATCTAAAAATAACCAGAATAACCAGAAATAATCAGTCATACTTAGATAAGACAAAGTAGATTAGACTTTTGGTGAGTCCTGTGTGTCCTGACTCTGTTTAAATCACCTGAGTACAACTGCAGGAGTCTTTACAGTAGATTATATTTGACAGAAACACCAATGGTCACGTTGGTCCAGCTGCTGTGGGACACTGTTCATTCTTGGTCTAGACTTTCTCTTAGACTAAAGTGTCTCTTGTATTTTGTTTGCATCATTAGACACAAGTTTGAAAGAAGCACATGAGCTGTTTAGATGAATCTGGTTATTTGACAGTAAATGTGGGTAAGAAAAGACAAACATATGAGAGTCACCTGTGTGTGAGCTCGCTCTGTGCCCTCGGCTGCTTCTGTTGGATTTGAACAAAACACACAAAGTTTGATTTGAGTGAATAATAAAAATGATGTGTGTGTTTGTTAAATATGACTCACCTTGTGAGTGAGTGCGTCTCTTTTTGGCGTAAAGGATAAACACAGTGAGTAAGAGCAGGCTCAGCCCAGCAGCCCCACACACAGACAGCAGTACACCTGTGACAACACAAACATCACTGCAGCACAAGGAGGTGCACGCCTTTCAAACATCATCACAAGCATCAGCATATGGAAAGTGTTTCAAGTACCAGAGGACACAGAGGAAGTGTGCTGCTGCTGCTCAGAGGGACTGGAGGAGCTCTCAGAGGAGCTCAGGGAGGAAGAGCTTAAACCTGGGGCAGAGCGGAGCAGAATATGGAGAATATTTCTACACTTGTAAATGTGTGGTCAAATCCAGAATGATGTGGGCTGCATGTGCCTCAGAGTGACAGAGTTTTACCAGCGGCTGCAGTGGTGCTGAGCTCCTGCTGCTCAGGACTGGAGGAGGTCTGAGTGTGGAGAGAGGGAACAACACCAGCAGGAACAGGAGCAGGAGCAGGAACAGGAGGTGTTGCTGGTGTTGGTACAGAATCAGTAAACAACAGTGCACTGAAATGTAATACAATTTATGTGTCAATTAAACTTACCTCTGAGGACTTGAATGAAAACATTTTTGTACTCATAGTTTGCTTTTATTGTTCCAACCCAGTCCTCCAAACCACAGATGTAGCGCCCGGTGTCAGACAGTCTCACATTTCTGATCCTCACACTGATGATTTGAGGACTGGAGCGTTTTCTGCTACGTATTCTGTATCTGTCGTTCTGGTGGATGTGGCCTGAAGTCTCAATCAGTCTGTTTTCTTTTGTGTTGCAGTCGTTTCTACAAAAGACCTTCCACTTTCCTTTAACTTTAAACTGACATTTGAAGGTGATGTCTCTTCCTTCAGTTCCAGTAAACGTCTGTGGTGTGGCGAGTCCGACTGCAGCACACAGCACTGTTCAACACAAACATCAACACTGCAGGGATTAAATAAATGCTGGTAAATGTCTTTTTTTGTTGTGTGTGGTGTTGTGGTGTTTTATTCTTAATCTTTGTGTTGTTTCTTTATCAGATGCAGGTTGTAGGAGAGAAGCTGAGGTCTGAGAGAGGAAGTGTAACATATGACGTGTTCTCAGCGCGGTGCAAGCGATGCCTCAGGGTTGGCACGAGTCACTTTAGCCCAGATCGGCCGCCTCAGCACAGTGCACTTTCACCGTCAGGAACTCTGCGCACTTTAACTTAAAGCCTACTCCTCTAATACTCACACGCACACTTTGTTCATGTTCACACAGCACTAACACTTCAAATTACTGTAAATGTAGAGTTTAAATAGTTTGGTTTGTTTTACATTAATGTTTGGTTTGAGATTACAAACTTTAATTTGCTGTGTTTAGTTGAGTCCGACATTTACCATTATTATTCAATTCTTTTTATTGGCTTTTATAAATGTTTGAACATACATAAACATAACACAAAAACAACAACAAGACAGCAGGCAATTCCAAAAGAAAGAAAAAAAAAAAAAAATAAATAATAATAATAACAATAATAATAATAATAATAAAATTATTATTATTATTATTATTATTATTCTTTATTATTATTATCATTATTATTCAAAAAGATATTATATGGATGTCTAGAAGTCATATTAGTTATATAAATTAGCAAAAGAAAAAAAAAATAATAATGATAATAATGATTAAAAAAAAAAAGATTAATAACAAATAATAATAATACATAAAATTAATAAATAGTAATAGTGAGTATAACAATAATAATATTACCAACAGCTATAATGACAACAATAGTCACAACAGTGATTATCATTAGTGTTATCGAGTCTGACATTTACAAGGGCTGATTTGTTAGTAGTTCGTTTTGTGCCTTAAGGAAAATGAAATAATTTTTAAAAGTCTAGACCACAGGTGTCAAACATACGGCCCAGGGGCCAGATCCGGCCCTCCAAGACCTTTAATCTGGCCCTTGGCTGTTTTTCTACTAAAATATTTTTATTATATTTTCTGTTAAAATCTTGTTAATTTTCTGTGGTGTTTATCACAGCAGCGTCTCCAGCGTCTCTGTACGTGGCCCCTCCCACCAGAGCAGCACAAATGAAGACTTGTCTCTTTCCAAACGCTCTTAAAGGACGATCGTTTTGACTGTTGACCGTGACACCCTCATCAGAAAAATGTCCAACATGAGAAAAGTGGAGCCGAGTGCAGGATTTTACAACAAAAAAATTGACTTATTCCTATTTGCATACAAGTTCATGTTAAAACTTTGTGTTGAAATTGCGTTTTTCTTAAAGTTTCAGGTTGTTCATAATATTGTGATATTCTGTAAAAGAAAGAGTTCATCAATTAAAAAAGATTTCTGTAATAGATTTGCGTTTCCCTGCAAAAATATTTGAACTTATTGTTATTTTTGGGGTTTATATGACATGAGTTTTCTGATCCGGCCTTTAGGATCAAAGTCAGTTGGATACGGCCCCCGGAACAAAATGAGTTTGACACTCCTGGTCTAGAATATTAAATAAAGATATGTAACTTTTTACACCGCATTGCCCTTTTTTTATGCCAGAAAGAATTGTGTGAGTAGTCAAAAGTTAGATCCAAACCACTTGGTGACACGTACATCAGAGTCTTAAACTGAAAAAATTTGTTTGAAAATTTTTAAATTTTAAATGTGAAGAAATGAGTTTGCATCCAGCATATGTAAGACAGTTCACTTTTTGTGTATAAAATTCACTGACGGAATCAGGCATTTAGGGGTTGAAAATATTTGAAAATACACATTTGAAGATGGATTTTAAGTTAATATCTTGGTTGAACAAATAAAAAAAATTAGTCCTCTGATTTTTTCATAGCCAAATGAATTTCAGGTGTACAGAAATGTGCTTTAATACCCTCAGTGTACATTTTTTGTTAAATATGCCAAAAATGTGCCAAAAAAGTGCATTTGAAAAACTACAGCTGATATTTTTTTTTACATAAATCAGGCTCTTAGAATGAACCATGCATTAAGTATAAAAAAAAAAAGAGATTTAACTTTTTGTCATTCTTGAAGTATGAAATGCAAAACAAAATTGAAAAAATATGATTTTTTTTAATAGCCAAATGAATTTCAGGTTTACAAAAATGTCCTTAACTCCCACAGTGTGAGTTTAATGAAGGTGTGATTGGGGGTCAAGATAGAAAATGTTACAGTTTTATTTAAGAAAAGGGGGATCGATGCGTATGAACAAATATTTAGACAAATGTAAATATTTCACATTATAAACTCGGCCTAATTTCCATCTGCAGATTCCCTCGACATCTGATCTTACAAACAATAAACACATTTACACTCCATTTGTTTTGGTGTTTTTTTTATGTGAGGCTTAGACTTAATAAAGTAAAGTTTAAAGTTAAATTAAAAGAAATGTGATTGTTTTGTGTCTCCACTCGTCCCTTCTGTTCTTTTGGTCATAGTTTTAGTTTTCATTATTTACTATTTTTAAACGATTCAGAAATATGTAACCGTATAACTATAAAAGAGATTAAACTTTAAACTTACAGAGCAGTGGAATCAGAAGCAGAGTCATCTTCATCCGGTCTGTCCATCACACAGGAACATGCGAGCATCTTGAGTCTATGTTTATACCAACCACAGCCCACCTCGGTGAACTCTGCACACGTCAGGCCTGTTTTGTTCACAAACATCTAAACCACAGAGGGTCGTCAAAGCACCACAGTTCATTTGATGCACCTTATATGAAGAACAAGCGGATATAAGTCAAGAATAAAACAACAGCAAGTTCTCCAGTAAAGATTCATTCTGTCTTCAGTTTTCAGGCACAAAACACAGAAAAACACAAAAGGAAGAGAGAAAAAAAAACACTAACAACCACTTTAACTTTAAAGCACTTCACTTCCCCATAAACAAAAAATCCATGAAATAATAATTCACATTAGTAAAAAATAATGAAAGTATTCACCAAGAGACACGAGTAAAACCAGAAGTACTTTCACTGTGGACGTTTGAAGTGACTTATTCTTAGTTGAACCGTAGCTACTTCCACAAATATCTGTCCAGTGCTATTAAAATCACACAGCGCTCCTCTCCTCTCTCCAGACTTTCACTTCCCTTTTTTTCTCCACTAACAAGTTTTGTCATCACTGCGTGGAAAATAGATTTTGTGATGTAGAGAAAATCACTCAAACTGCTTCACTCCAGCTTTGCACCAGGTTTGTAAATTCCTCCTTGGTTTTTGGTGACACAGTAGTGAACATCTCTCATATTTCTTAAATAATATTACAGTCTGATTTAATTTGACAATGTCTGAGTTTACAAAAAGCTCACTTTATTAACAAAAAGCACTTGAACCTTTTTTTTTTTACTTGTGTTTGTTTTAGTTGATTCTTTAATACAATAAATTTTCTTTCTTAGAAAGACTCAGAGAGAGAGAAAGAGAAGCTTCTTCAGTCTGCACCCGAAGTGCTGTGTAGATCACTGCCTCAGTCTGACACTGGGAGGCGCTGCGTCGACTCTTAAAACGGACCTCAGAGTATGAGACGTCCTCACAGTCTTCCACCTGCACAATGAAGAACAACAAACGAGGTAATAATAATACACAATAATCTGTGATCTTGGTTTGAAATGAAGAACAGAAACTATATTCTTCAAACTGGATCATGTAAGATCTAAAAATAACCAGTAATAACCAGTCAGGCTTAGATAAGACAAAGTAGATTAGACTTTTGGTGAGTCCTGTGTGTCCTGACTCTGTTTAAATCACCTGAGTACAACTGCAGGAGTCTTTACAGTAGATTATATTTGACAGAAACACCAATGGTCACGTTGGTCCAGCTGCTGTGGGACACTGTTCATTCTTGGTCTAGACTTTCTCTTAGACTAAAGTGTCTCTTGTATTTTGTGTGCATCATTAGACACAAGTTTGAAAGAAGCACATGAGCTGTTTAGATGAATCTGGTTATTTGACAGTAAATGTGGGTAAGAAAAGACAAACATATGAGAGTCACCTGTGTGTGAGCTCGCTCTGTGCCCTCGGCTGCTTCTGTTGGATTTGAACAAAACACACAAAGTTTGATTTGAGTGAATAATAAAATGATGTGTGTGTTTGTTAAATATGACTCACCTTGTGAGTGAGTGCGTCTCTTTTTGGCGTAAAGGATAAACACAGTGAGTAAGAGCAGGCTCAGCCCAGCAGCCCCACACACAGACAGCAGTACACCTGTGACAACACAAACATCACTGCAGCACAAGGAGGTGCACGCCTTTCAAACATCATCACAAGCATCATCATATGGAAAGTGTTTCAAGTACCAGAGGACACAGAGGAAGTGTGCTGCTGCTGCTCAGAGGGACTGGAGGAGCTCTCAGAGGAGCTCAGGGAGGAAGAGCTTAAACCTGGGGCAGAGCGGAGCAGAATATGGAGAATATTTCTACACTTGTAAATGTGTGGTCAAATCCAGAATGATGTGGGCTGCATGTGCCTCAGAGTGACAGAGTTTTACCAGCGGCTGCAGTGGTGCTGAGCTCCTGCTGCTCAGGACTGGAGGAGGTCTGAGTGTGGAGAGAGGGAACAACACCAGCAGGAACAGGAGGTGTGGACGGTGCTACAATCGGTACAGAATCAGTAAACAACAGAACATTGAAATCACTTCAAGTGTTAATTAAACTTACCTCTGAGGACTTGAATGAAAATGTTTTTGTACTCATAGTTTGCTTTTATTATTCCAACCCACTCCTCCAAACCACAGCTGTAGCGCCCGGAGTCAGACAGTCTCACATTTCTGATGCTCACACTGATGGTGTGAAGTTTGTTATGTTTTGTGCTCTGTATTCTGTATCTGTCGTTCTTGTGGACGTAACCTGAAGTCTCAATCAGTCTGTTCTCTTCTGTGTTACAGTCGTTTCTACAAAAGACGTTCCAGTTTCCTTTTACATGAAACTGACATTTGATGGTGAGGTATCCTCCTTCAGTTGCAGTAAACGTCTGTGATGTGGTGAGTCCGTCTGCAGCACACAGCACTGTTCAACACAAACATCAACACTGCAGTGTTTAGACAAATCAACTGTACAAATACTACTACAAAATGCTTTTGTATTTACCTTTATATTTGATAATTAGGGTTTATAACATTGTGATGTTTTAATAAACTTTTTCACACAATACTTTCAGTGAAACTGTATTTTTTTATTACTACTTAAATTATTAGTTTTAATCATAAGTCAAACTGTCAAAATAAAAATTAAGACTAAACCAAAACTAAATAAAGTGGAGTGAGTCTTGTCTTGTGTCTTGTGAAAAGCAGAGCTCGGTTCTCTGGGTTCATGTTGCAGGACACAGACGTGTTCAGAGCCGCAGACGAGTGAACGAGTCTCTGTGATCTTCCCCCACACTCTGCACTCTGATTATAATTTAATCTAATCTACTGACGTCCTTCTCACACATTAAACTTAACATTTGTTAAATCTGCACTGTTCCATTTGTTGTGTCTTTAAACTCAGGTATAATGTGTCCAACACACGGAGCTGAAACTGGACACATTTTGTACACAGCTCCCACAGCGTCTTTATTCAACTCTGACAACAAAACTAAGATTAACTGCAACAATGATTTATTTACACTTATTCACATAAAACAGGGTTTAATAAACAGTAAAAAAAATCCAGGATGTATTAATTACAATGAAAATAATCCACTTTTTGTTATATTTGAACTATGAAATGCAGCGACTTCGTGACAAAACATTGTCAATTAAAGGGTCAGAAAAATTTAAAATATGAATCACTGCATTTGCAAAATTACAGCAGATAAACTTTTACATTCATCAGGGTCTTAAAATGAAATAAATAAATAAATAAATGCAGTTTGCATCCAGCATATGGAAGATAGTTCACTTTTAGTGTTTTTTGTGTTTGAAATTCATTGATTGAATGGGGCATTTGGGGGTTGAAAATATTTGAAAATATAAATTTTAAAATATGGATCTTCAGTAAAATAAAACAATATTAGTCCTCAGATTTTTTCACTGCCAAATGAATTTCAGGTGTACAAAAATGTGCTTTAATACCAACATACATTTTTTGTTAAATATGCCAGTGCCAAAAAATGAGTAATACATTTGAAAAATTACAGCAATAACAAAATTAAAGATTATATATATATATATATATATATATATATATATATATATATATATATATATATATATATATATATATATATATATATATATATATATATATATAACATAAATCAGGCTCTTAAAATGAACCATGCATTAAGTATAAAAAAGAAATTAAACTTTTTGTTATTCTTGAATTATGAAATGCAAAACAAAATTGAAAAAATATGAATCCAGATTTTTTGTTTTTATAGCCAAATACATTTCAGGTTTACAAAAATGTCCTTAACTCCCTCAAAGTGAGTTTAATGAAGGTGTGATTGGGCGTCAAGATAGAAAATGTTACAGTTTTATTTAAGAAAAGAGGGATCGACGCTTATGAACGAATATTTAGACAAATGTAAATATGTCACATTAAAAACTCGCTCTAATTTCCATGTGCAGATTCCCTCGACATCTGATGTTATAAATAAACACATGTACACTTGATTTTTTTTTATGTGAGGCTTAGACTTAATAAAGTAAAGTTTAAAGTTAAATTAAAACAAATGTAATTGTTTTGTGTCTCCACTCGTCCCTTCTGTTCTTTTGGTCATAGTTTTAGTTTTCATTATTTACTATTTTTAAACAATTCAAAAATATGTAACCGTATAACTATAAAAGAGATTAAACTTTAAACTTACAGAGCAGTGGAATCAGAAGCAGAGTCATCTTCATCCGGTCTGTCCATCACACAGGAACATGCGAGCATCTTGAGTCTATGTTTATACCAACCACAGCCCACCTCGGTGAACTCTGCACACGTCAGGCCTTTTTTATTCACAAACATCTAAACCACAGAGGGTCGTCAAAGCACCACAGTTCATTTGATGCACCTTATATGAAGAACAAGCAGATATAAGTCAAGAATAAAACAACAGCAACGAACCCGCAGCAGTCACAGTGCCACGCATCAGGGCGTCGCAGAAAACCGAAAGAGCCATGAGGAAGCACAACATCAGTACACACACACATATACACACACACATATATATATATATATATATATATATATACAGATTATAAGTGAAACCAAAGGACAAAATGAACAGAACACAAATGCAACATAAAATAGGAGGTAGAATCGATCGTGCAATAAAACCTGAGAGGGAAACAGGAAGAAAATTTAGAACACGGAGAACATCAAAAAGAGCACGAAACGGAAACAGCGAACAGACGAATAAGAACGATAAAGATAGAGCAAGTAGAGCAGCAAAAAGAAGAAATTACTGTTCAATAATTACATAATAGTAATTGTTACTAATTGTTAATAGTCTCCCAGATCCTGCTAATTAAAGCTGATATCAGTTGAATCCTGAGAAACAGAAACTCCGGTTTTAAAGACTTCTGTATTTGCAGAACAAATCATGTTTCTGTAGTCATGGTAGAGAACCTCAATCGCTCAACATTGGTTACAAATTTAAAAAGTCAACACCAAAGCGAAAGGCACCAACTGTTCACCAAGAAACACCTTCCACCGCAAAGAGACCAAGACGTGATGTTTCTGTAAAACCACAAGAACAAGAAAGTGCAGCTCAGTCTGTTTGTCTTCTGCTCCTCTCACTTAACAAACAGGATTTTGTTTTGATGCTCCACACACAAAATGTTCTCTGTAAACTCGGGATGATTTAGGCAGTCAAAGTTTTCCTTTTTGTTCCTTCCTGTGGATCAATCCTGCCCATCGCCTTCACCTTTCACTATTTTTCAGTTCCGTTGGGAAGAGAAACAGTTTGAACAGAGGTTTGAGTCACACACATCTGATTCACTTTTGCATTTATGGAGTTCGCAAACTTCCGAAGCCCATTTCTCGAGCCGTTTTCCGCTGTTAGGATCCAAGAACCACACAATTACAATGTCTGAATCTCAAAACTAAAATATGACAATATCAGAAACAGAAACAAAAGTGATATGGTTCAAAAGACTTGAAAAGATCGACTTTGACAATAGACACATCCCACTGGGAAAACAAACATGGAGGTTTGATGCTCACTTTTTCGAAAAATCCTTCCCAGTATGAATTGCTCGATGACCAAAATTCTTGATGCATGTATAGGACAGCGACTGTACATTGAAAACATTTTCAAATTTTGGAATTTTTTTTTTTTTTTAAATGTATTTGTCAAACCACAGTTTGTAACCAAAACATCCAAATAATCTCTAATACAGCAGAAATTTAAGCCTGAAAAATGACAAAGCCTGGTGAGTGCATTTTTCATTGATATTTTTCTTTATTTGGTTTTATTTGAATGATTCAAACATAATCTCATAACTATTCAAAAACTGTAACTTGGTCGATTAGTATTAGTGCAATAATGAAACAGAGAAACTAAAGAGACACAATCCCAAACGCTTTCTGCTAAACACTGTTCATTTGTGTGTGTAAAATCTCTCAGTCGTTCAGGTAGAATCCACGGCAAAAGGAGAAATTTGTCAACTGGACAAAAGTTTATTTGGTCGAATATGTTTCTCAGTTTATCCAAGCTGCTTCTTCAGTTCTGGTCAGACGCTGGTGGACACTTCCTTATATCTGCCAGAAGGGAGGAGCTAACTACACTGAAACTACTCTGAAACTAACACACACACTTATTTACAGTTTCTGTTTCGGTCATATTAGCAGAATCATTCAGGGCCAGAATGGAGCTTTCACACCTCTGGGCCTGACCTGAATCTGTGTGTCAGTCGTTCATTCATTTTTCAATATAAAATCAAAATTAAGAAAATGAAAAAACAACAATTTTCTTCATTATTTGTCTTCAAAACCAAAATAAAAAAACAAATAGATTAAATTTTTCAGTTTTCGATTTTGTGTTTAAATGAAGAATGGAAAAAACAGATAACAACTCTTTCCCATTTCTGTGACTTAAACTGCGATGCCGGACTGAACCAGGACTAAAACTGGACTAAACCATTTTCAGTCCTGGTCTGGTCCCGGTCTGTTCCAGGACCTGTTTTAATCCTGATTCAGTCCTGGTTCTGTCCAGTGTCGCAATTTAAGTCACAGAAACATGATTCATTTAAACACAAAATGGAAAATTGAAAAAACAAATTGTGATCCCTTTTTTCATTTTGGTTTTGGAGACACATAATGAAGAAAATTGTTGTTTTTTCATTTTATTATTTTTGGTTTTATTTTGAAAAACGAATGAACGAATGATACACTGACTGACCAGGCTCCTCCTATTGTTTTCTTTGCTTGTTTTTGTTTTAGGTTTGGTGTCTGAGTCCGTTTCTGTTTCAAAAATGGATTGTCTTTCTTAACAAAAATAGCCTATTTACCTCTCCTCTCAAACTTTTTCTTTTCTCTGGCTCAGATCTGTACCTCACTGTCCTCAAAAGAGTGGCCTGAGGCTTTTAGGTGGGGACGTACGGCAGACTGAGGTCCTTTTAGGTGGAGATGTACATCAGACTGTGGTCCTGTGTTGCTCCCTCGTCTGTGTTGGTACATCCTCTTGTGAAGTGGTAGTTTAGTTTAGTCTTCACTGCACTGTATGGAGTAAACCACATTACTTTGTTTCTGGCTCTGTGTTTTGTCCTTTGGATGGACCAGTTTTTGTCTTCAAACAGATGAGCTGTGAAACGTATTCGACCAAATAAACTTGTCACGTTAAATGCTTTCTACATTGTGGTACAAAAATCAAGCCTGTTCGGCACTCAGTTATTGCCAGAATAAGTAGACTACAGGAGTTTTTCTCTAACTCCTGCTGAAGTAACCCTGAGCTCCACCAGGGGGCAGTGTGAGTCCACAGTCAGACGGTGCTGTAGACTTGGTTTGGGTCCATGGTTTCCACACAGAGGCTCTGGTAAGTGAAGTCTGCAGACTCACTCACTTCGCTCATGTTCTCGTACAATTCAGTCTGAAACTAAGGAAACAAAAGTCAGGATTTTTAGACTCAAAAGTACAAATGTGTGTGGAGCTCACGTCTGTTCTGGAGTGTCTTGACTCCACTATGGGATTCTCATCTGTTGAACACAAAAGAACTTCATCAGAATCAGACCCATATGTCACAATATTCATTCATTTATGCATTTATTTACAATCAGAGCCACGGTAACACAGAAAACATACAATACATTTTTTTGTTGTTAATTTCGACAACTAAAATATTTCATAATAGTTTTAGTTAAGTGGAGTTAATGCGATTAACTAAGGCTACGTTCAGACTGCAGCCTGAAGTGACCCAAATCTGATTTTTTAGCCCCTGTGTGTCCTGTATCTGATCTTTTAATGACAGTCTGAACGACACAGATCCGATTTTTTCAAATGTGACCCAGGACACTTGGATATGTGCTCCTGAAACTGATACATATCTGATCTTTTGACATGTGACTTCAGTGTGAACGGCCAAAGTGCATTCATCCACCTACACGTTATCAACAAGACACAAAATGTCACTTTTTCTGCGCTGAAGTAGGGAGAAAATTGTTAATGAACTCTGTGTGACTGAAGTGAAGCACATCACCACTCACCACTCTTGGCTCCGTCTCCACATCCACACGTTCCTTTCAACGGACGTCGCTGCCACAAAAACACCACGACCAAAAACCTCGTCCTTCTCCTTCTCAATCTCCTCCTTAAAACAAGTAAGTTGTTCATGTTCTGGCTCCGGTACGAGAGGAACTTTAAAATCTCCAGGTGCTCGATGCTGCGTCCATGTTTGGACAACTTCTGTAAACACAGAGACGCTCGCTGCGGTTGACGTCGTCGTGTCTCCAGTGTCA